ATATAATATAATATATATATATATATATATATATATATATATATATATATATATATATATATATATATATATATATATTCTAACATTCTATCAGGTTCTTTTTTATTTTTTAACACATTTTTTCTCCAGCTATATCTTGGCGCAGGCCAGTCCTTCACTTTTACACTTAAGTATTAAACTGCTAAGTATTAAGCTTCAATTCTTTGAAAATGGGCGAGGAACATTATTACAGATATACCCAAATTCTTATTCTCAATTACAATAACGGACTCCGAAACCTGAAAACTTGTATAACCTGATTATGAACAAATCATCTTAAATAAAACATCGAAACTACAAGAAGACTAAATCGCACCAAAGACTACATAATACAAAAACCATTAATACGTTAGCTGACTTGGAATTATCACCCCTTGCACTGCTGTATAATTTCTTTCACGTTAAATGATTCAGTTAATCATTCGATTGTTATCTGTTAGGAAGTCATGGAGGATCTCTGCTATAGTTAATCTCAATGCAAATATATGACACTTCCGTGAGCTGTTGTTTTCAAGCGAACAGCTCTTTGAAACCACACATTTTCTATTTAAATATCGCCGTCCATTACCTTAACTTTTTATAGATATGTTGTCTTAGTTATATTTTTCTCTATTTTCTGTTCACTTAATGAATTAGCGACGCTGTTAGGTAGCAGCTCGGTTAGCTAAACCATGAAAAATGAAACAGAACACTTACACAGCTCGCAAGAGAACACAACGCCATACAGGCTCCCATTCTGTATTAATAAATAAACGACTCCAAAACACTTTCAGAGGATGAACTGACAGTCAATTACAGCAAGAGCTCTTTCTCGTTCTGTCAGTTGATTCCGGTGTTTGAAGGTGACGACTCTTACAGTCAATTCAGTCTATTTCATAATAAAGGTCCTTCTTTCTCAATTCCCCCATAAACTCTACAAATGTATTGAACAAAACAATAAAAATAAAACTTAATAAAATTATAATAAAATAATCACATCGATGTATAAATGCATTTTTTTGTGGCATGTTATGTATTTCGAACTACTACGTTTATATTACTTAAGGAGATTTTAAATCCATATGCAAATTAAGCAAACATGGCAATTATAATGCAATATGTTATTGGATATAACTATAACTACGCAGCCTAAAATACAGTATTTTAATAGTGTTCGTTTCTTATTTATATTAATATCGGTTACCAATATTTAAAGTTTAGGACATGATCACGTTTATTTTGAAACGTAAGCTTAGAACAAAATATAAATGGCTTTATTAATTTATTTATCAATTAAGTAAAAAAAAAATTATAAACGAAAAAATAATAATTTATGTGTGGTATTGATATTTAAATTAACTTGAAATTTTAAATTCCACTGAGGATATTTGTACATTTGAACAACCAAACTGATAACATATTTTGATTAAGTTGGTCAGATTTCACAAACAAATGCATTTAACCTACATCTCTGTTTGGAATACAACAATGCCACAACAATACTTTTCTCATACAATTCTCTATGACATTTGAGTGTACTACAGGGAATGTTACTGACACTTTAAGTTCAATAATAAAAAATATATATTGCAATAGAGTGTGCTTCATTTAACACGGGGGCCCACCTCTCTGACTTGTTGAATCAACCTAATCCGATTGTAGAAAAAAACATATATGATAAATAATAAACAATAATCAGAAAATCTTTTGTTTTGCCATCTTAACGCCATGGTTATTTGAAATAACAACGATTTTATTCCGTATTCATTCTCACTGCAGTGTACCGTCTCCCCTACGAATAATTAATGGTATCGTCCTCTTTGCCCCTGTCAATTATTTCTCTAAAATCACGATCGCAAACGGGAGCCGAGATGGTATCAACCCTTAGGACTGGGGCAGGTGCTTTCAAAACACACCGTCTCCCGTAAAAACGGTGCATTAATTGATCAGTACCGTGAATAATCTGCATCAGATAGGGATCTTGTGCATATCTCTCTACACCGCTGGTAAGTTCTCGCCTCTTCCTTATGCTGTTTGAGCTCGGCACGAGCTTAATCGTCTATCACAGTGTATGCAATTCATTCATTATCATTATTAAGGTGAAACACTGACACGTTGTTCGAGGCTTTGCTATAACGATCACTTGCATTGCAATTCATTCAAGATTAATACTGGTATGGCGATTTATCGGGAAACAAGGATGACAACACAATTATACATATATAAATAAACGCACTTATTAGATTAAAACGGCAGAATTGCGATATTTGCTGATGACAGAGCGCAGATGTGAGGGATCAGGGGACGCGTATGCAACATGAATGTTTATACATGTACACCCATGGGCACGTACTGCTGGCAGATCAATTTCAGCTGTAACCCGAGGGCAACTTTAATAAATTCAATGAAAAAAGAGAATGTTGAAGTAGACTTCAATGAATTAGCTAACTGGTTTATATATACTGTATATAGAAGTAAAAAGCATTAATCATCTTATAATTTAGAACATTTTATTTTTATTAAAAAAAAAACTAAAAATTCCCTGCTCATAAGAGAAAAGATTCTACAAAAATGATGATCTATATATATATATATATGTACACACATATTCAACAGTTCATGTTTAAAATATCAAAACATTATGCATTTGTAACTGCAGGTTAAAGGATCCCATGTCCCTCTAAGCTGCATTAGCATGTGCAAATGCATCTTAATGCCACTTCATATTCAACTTCTGCAAAGATGAATTTTATTGATACTGATTTCATTTGTTTAGTATTGTTATAATTGCCTGATTAAATGTAAGAATTTGACTCAAAAGAGGATGCACACTTTCAGTAATTTTTTTTTATAAAAGGTAAAAATGCCCATAAAAAGGTAAAAATCTAAACTTATTGTAAAAGATTAATTTCTATCACTGCTGTGAACTGACCACACAGAATATCAAAAACTAGGAGTCAGCTGTCCATGGTATCCTTAAGATATCAGCACAATAACACACTCAGCAAAATATTGTCTAATTCTCTTTATCAATAAAATATTGAGATCTTTTTTGTCAATATCGCACACCCTTAGTACTGACACAAAATGATTTGCAACAGTCGCTTTGTCATGTAGATGTAACGGAAGAGGTCTGACGCAACCGGTTAGTATAAATCAAATAGGTTTATTGGGTCACAGAGAGTACTAGGGTAGGGTTCAGAGGATGTGATGGTGAGGGAAGAGTTCGAAGGATATGATGAGCAGGGTAATCCGGGTCTTTGGCTGTACAGGAGCTGGAATGCAGGCAGGAGGCCCAGCCCAGGAACCCTGGTGGCCACGGCAGAAGGTTTGCAGAAATCGTCCCACCTCCTGAATCTTCCTCTCCGTTTGCCCATTTGATTGTGGGTGGTATCCGGACGAGAGGCTTATGGTCACACCTAGGAGTCTGAAGGCATTCCATACTTTGGAGATAAACTGAGGCCCCCAGTCAGAGACGATGTCTTCAGGAATTCCGTAATAGCGGAAGACCTGGTTAAAGAGGAGTTCAGCTGTTTCCAGTGCAGTGGGGAGACCTCTGAGGGGCAGAAGGCGGCATGATTTTGAGAACCGGTCAACTATAACCAGGATGCATGTGTTACCTTCAGAGGGGGGCAGGTCAGTGACAAAGTCTACTCCTAGGTGTGACCAGGGGCGATTTGGCACCGGTAGAGGAAGGAGTTTGCCAGATGGTAAATGGCACGGGCTCTTGGACATCCTTGCATGAACCTTCTCATGCCCCTTGCCATATTGGGCCACCAGAAGCGATCTCGTAGCAGCGAGAGGGTGTTGTTGGCCCCTGGATGGCCAGTGCCTCGGGAGGAGTGAATCAGTGGGGTGCGCTGTGTCCGTGGTACGTACTGGCATCCGGTAGGACAGCCCGGCGGATTGTTGGGAGCCGTGTTGGAGGCCACTGAAGGGGAATTCCATTCAATGGGACAGACGATCATCTGAGGTGGAATGATACCTTCCGGTTCTTCTGGGCCTTCCACATGACTGTGAATACGAGACAAGGCATCGGCCTTGACGTTTCGGGGACCAGGGCAATAAGTAATGGTAAAATTGAACCTGGTAAAGAATAATGCCCATCGTGCTTGGCGGGGATTTAGATGTTTAGCTTCACAAAGATACTGGAGGTTTTTAAATGGTCAGTCAGTACGGTGAATGGATGGGCTGCCCCCTTCAGCCAATGCCTCCACTCCTCTAGGGCCAGCTTGATGACAAGGGAGTTCTCTGTTGCCGATGTCATAATTTTCCGCTGGGCTGAGCTTCCTTGAGAAGGCACATGGGTGGAGTCAGGCTGGGTTCCCCTGCTGCTGGGACAGCACTGCCTCCACTCCTGTAGTGGAGGCGTCGACTTCCACGACGAATGGGAGGTCGGGATCTGGATGGACTAGGAGTGGGGCGCTAGTGAAGGCTTTCTTGAGGGAGGAGAAAGCTTCTAAGGCCGCGGGAGTCCAGGACAGAGACTTGGGTTTCCCTCTTGGGCTTCGGGGAGTAGATGAGGATGTCATCCATGTAGACAATAACGAATCGATGGAGAAACTCCCGGAGCACCTCATGCATAAAATCCTGGAATACGGAGGGATCGTTAGCAAGTCCATAGGGCATGACTAGATACTCGTAGTGGCCAGTAGGGGTCACGAAGGCAGTCTTCCATTCATCCCCCTCACGTATACGGATGAGGTTGTAGGCACTGCGGAGGTCCAACCTGGTGAAAACGGTCGCCCCTCAGAGATTTTCCAGGGCGTTAGGGACGAGGGGAAGAGGATAACGGAATTTGATGGTGATATTGTTTAATGCTCGGTAATCTATACAGGGCCTCAAGCCTCCATCCTTCTTGGCCACAAAGAAGAAACTTGATGCAGCAGGGGAGTTAGATGGACGGATGTAACCTTGACCCAGCGCCTCCTTGATGTAGTCCTCCATGGCCTTCTGTTCAGGAAGCGACAGTGAATAGATCTTTCCCCGAGGCACTGACTCACCCGGCGCAGTCCCATGGCCAATGTGGTGGTAAGCGGGAGGCTTGTTTCGGGCAAAACACGTCGTGGAAGGGGGCATAGCAGGCTGGAATATCTATGGATTGCTTCTCTAGGGGACTTTCAACGGAGGTTGAATTCACGGGCAGGACCTCCATGAGTTTCTTGGCTGGGGGTGGGGTCACGGGGAAGCAATCCTTGCCCCACTTCAAAACTTCTCCCGTCTTCCAGGACAGAATGGGATTGTGCTTTACCAGCCATGGGCGCCCTAAGATGATGTCCGCCGTAGACCCTTCCAGAACCAGAAGATGAATTTCTTCCGTATGAAGTTGACCCAGCCGAAGAGTGATGGGGCCCACACGATATCGTACATGTTGGCGACATAGTGGTTTCCCAGTTATCGACTGGACCTGGTAGACCGTTTCAGTGGCAGTAGCTTGTAACTTGAGCTGGCAGCAGAGGTTTCTTGAGATGAAGTTTCCTGCTGACCCGGAGTCGATAAGGGCCGATACGGAAATAGAAACAAAGGCAGTAAGCATTACACAGGTAGTGAGTGGTTCCATCTTAACGATATCAGGCTGAATCACACTCACCACAGGACGTGGAGGGCGAAGGGGGCATGACAAGATCAGATGCCCCTGAGCTCCACAGTACAAACAGAGACCCCGGGTCAGCCTTCTCTGCCGCTCAGCGGAAGATAATAGTTGCTTCTCTACGATCATGGGTTCTGGTGGGTAACCGGGTTCTGGTCGGCGGAGGGAGGAGGTTGTGGCGGGGACTGGTGTTGCTGCTAAACAGGACTGCATGCGGTTTGAACAACGGACGGACTGTTGAATGAATTTTTCCAATCCAAATGAATC